TATACGCCATTTAAATCCGGAAAATAGTTTCATTTTCAAATTGTGTAATTAATTTTTTTAAACACAGTGTCGATTTCGCTGGAATAATTATTATGGGTGGCTTCATTTGGGGCCTATGAAGCCCCTCATCACTGCGACCATTAAATGATCCATTGTGATCACCACTAATTACAGATTTTCGCTGGAATGGCCCTTCATCCAATTTAGATTAGCACTAGAGGATGAGATACAATTGAATTAATCTAATAGCATGAATCCTGAAAATCAGTATGTATAATTAAGGCGTACATGATCACAATAATTCGTTATTGAGTTAAGAGAACAACACAATCCTTGGAAAAACAATAATAATGTGGAAAACAGCATAAAGTTATATAAATTATACTGTCAATTATACTGAGGGTCATATTCCAGAACTCTACTCAATGCTCAAGTCAGGACTTGAGTATGATTTCAAGCACTGAAAATACGACCCTAATGGCAAGGACTTGAGTATGATTTCCATTGCTTTAAATCATACTCAAGTCCTGACTTGAGCATTGAGTAGACGACCCTGAGAATATAACACAAATTATTTAAACATCTAGTGTACTTACAGATCTATTTTAGCAAACTGCAGTTGCAGTGTGCTTGAGTTTTAAATTCTGCAACAAAGAGAAACAACTTTTAACCACTAAACATTACAAGTTAGAAACTACAAGTCAACATGTAAATAACTTTCTATACTATATAAGACAAAAACTCTACTTTCTATATACACCTAGCATGTAATCTTGTTATCTTAATTAATTTTTATATGATTCTACTCATAATATAGACCAAGCAAAATATCGATAACAAATTATAATTTGATTGAAGGACCAAAATATGATAGTTATAGGTGCTCATTATGAGCAAAACTGTACACAAAATGCATACAATGGAATTTACAACCATTTTTCATTTACCAAAGTAGGTTTAAAATACATATTTTTTTAAAAATGTATATTTTAATTTGGCAGTAAACATCCAGTATTACGTACCTTTCATTGAAATAAGACCAACACAAACTTATTTACTTATGCAGTTAATTAAAATCTTGAACGTGTTGAATTTAAGTCAGGGACAGAACGACAACTCTGTTTCATATTGTCATGTAACATAAGACCAACACAAACTTATTTACTTATGCAGTTAATTAAAATCTTGAACATGTTGAATTTAAGTCAGGGACAGAATGACACATCTCTGTTTAATATTGCCATGCATTGTGCATATGTTGTTTAATGTTTCACTCATATTTACATACTGATGTTAATGTCATATACAAGATTTTTTCCTGTGTAGTTGTTCCTTAATAAAGGTAAAGAATTGATAATCATTTCAATGAAAACTATAATTACAAACTTTTAGTACATTCAATGACACAGTGCTACTCTCCTTGTGAATTTGTTGAAAGATGCAAGCTCAGCAGTTCCAATGGGGGAACTATGAAGTATAAATTATTTTTAATGTATTATTTTTAATTTAGGACATAATAGGTAAATAAACCCATTTTATTCTTATAAGTTTCCTGTATGGCCAATAGTTATCAGAAAAGTAACTCTGAATATGTGTGTTTTGGAAATGTTCTGCCTATAGTCAAAAATATGTTCAGAAATGCCCAAAATTTGGTTCTGGCATTTAAAATGTTGGTTCTAGTTGGGTGATGAATAAATTAACATCACCAACCTAACTAGAGTCTACAACTCTGCCTAACTTTGTACTGTCTCAAGATATGATTTTTAGTCTCATTTTCTTGGAAATTATTGCTGCAGAGGAAAACAGTAAAATTAAATGTATTTATTCCATCACGCGTCCTACAGACTGAGGTTGTTACTGTTGCTGATTTTATGTGTTAAAAAATGCTAAAAATGTACATCCTTACTGAATCTATCTACATTAAGAAGGTTTCTATTTTCTTTAGTATTGTAATAAAAGATTATTTCAATGATTTTGTGACATTTGTAACAAAAGAATCAATCTTCATGAAAACAATTAATCTGCCTAGCTTAATCTTTGTGGAATTTTATCAAAGTTACACCTTAAAAACAGCTGGGCTGCTTTTTCAACTTACAGTCTGTTTCAGTCTGTCTGTTCAGTGTGCCTTTTAGGTCACGTCACGATTCAAACATCCATCAATGATTAATGCGGATGTGGATATTTTAATTTATGCACGTTATCCGTAGATAAGGATGCGGATTCTGATATTCGTAACAACTCTGCTACAGACACACGGAGTCCCTTGTTATATTGGTAATTATTTTTAAATGGTGGATGAAAACACAAAAGCGCGTTTAATACACTGTATAGCTCAAGGACCCTAAAGTACCAAAATTGCCAAGGACACCGTGTGTCTTTAACAATTTTGAACGGTAGGACGCGTGACGGCTTATATCTATTTTATATCTACTCAAAACTGGCATTATAAAAGAAATTATAACAATATTTATTTATTTTAATTGTGTCTTCTTTGTTAAAGTCTAACCCACATTTACATCAATATGTTACGAAAATATAACCTGACCCAAGTATAGAACACTGGAATGGATCTCCCAAGTTTTACATGCGAGATTAAAGAGATTAATGAATCAATTGTTGACTGAACGGAAGCATGTACAAAAAAAAACAACCGCGTCCTCTATACTACCAAAACAATTGAATTTGTCACTAATAAACCTGTTCCTTACCATCATATTTACATCATCGCCACAATTTACTGTGACCTTGTCCAAACCCGTAACGGACCCATTGAGAGGACTATTACAGAAGGCAGCTGCACCGGCCGTCCAAAAATGTTTGATATAAATAACTGTTTACAAACAACCAAAGCACTTTAGTTTTATCTTACGGCATCACAAAACTGTCTTATCGAGCGCTATTCACGTTTTTGTTTCATTAGAATTTCACAACTGACATTTTTGCTTAATACCTTTTTTTCATAATTCTGGGAATTGCCATAAACGATCACATTTTGCATATCAAGTTGTTTACAAACAGTACGTTTACCTAACTTTCTGATATTCACATCTTTAAAAATTGCATAATATATAATAGAAAACAATATATTTTTAACAATTTAGCAACCAAAATGGATAGAGAAACATTAGATTGACTTAAAAAGATTTATAATCACATGCTGCAAAAATGAATACTTGGCAACACAAGTAGTTCTTAAGCATGCGTTCATAAAATTGTTGCTATGTTCTGCAGTTTTAAAATGTGGTCCGACCATACGATACACCACAAACCCTACGTATGGGAAAGATCATTTTACTTGCAAATGCAACCTCATATAAGGCCCAAACGCATTTACGCTGCGCGTAAGCACCAACTCCTGTAGCCAACGACAAATTTTGTTTCAAAGCCCATTCGTTTTCCCCTATTAAGTACTTTGTTTCGTTCGTAATAATGCTAGATTTACAATGATCACTTTGTATGAAAAATCATTTTATTCAATTTGACCAACTTCTGCTGTCCCGATTTTTCTTCTCGTACAATGAAATGATCCCTTCCCTTCAAAAAAAAATTTTATGGACAACTTACCCTTGACAAAAAATTGAACATACCAAAATTGTTTTCACAAAAAAGACCTATGTAATGGTTCATAAGACAGTTTCCTTGTATCTCCTATGGTTTCGGATTTCCCCATTGCCACTGTGTGATCATCATTGAAATAAGCCAACGATTCATACCTATTTGAAACTTGGCTGTATTACAATTTAATTATCAAATTTATATCATGATTAAGTCTAATCACAATTAGTATTGGCTAGAGTATAGACATAAAGAATTGTATTAGGTACTTAATATAGAAATTCAATTATCTATCGTATTTCTTGAATAGTGTTGATTTTTCCTTAAATGTGAAATATGTCACGTACGCTGCAGTAATTAATAAAATTACCAAAAGAATCATTGTAATGAAAATAATAATTGCAAGACCTGAAAAAGAAAGAAATTGAATAAGGAAGTTTTTATTTTGACGTCATATAAAGGAATAATAAAAGTAATTGTAATACTGTAGTTTAGCAAATAGATAATTGTGTTAAATAACCTTCCAACATAATTATGCTTGCTGTAAAGCAAAATACCATTGCAAGTAACGATAATGACGTAAATAAAATTGATAGAATGGTAACTAGCAATGTTAAAACAACTGCTGTAGTAAGTAACGGTCTTTTCAGTAAACCATTCATTAGTTTAACAACTTGTGTCTCCATAACCTTTAGCAATTTTTTATATGCCCTTGTTCCAGGTCCTGTAAAATAAAACAAAATCAAAATGTTAATTGTACGACGGCGGACCACAGATACTAATAAAAACTGTCAAATTCTTGAAAATCGTAGATTACGTCATTCACCATACACAGTCACCATACTTATCGATACAGAACCGCATTAAGTCGGTGACAAAAGGTTCTATGTCCATGTAATAAAAGTGGTTCGAGTGAAAGCGAAACGCGCATACTCTTCTGCGTGTTCATTGCGAGGACATAAAGCGTTTTCTAACCGGTTCGAGCCGATTACATGTTAATATGTGCAATGACAGTTTGTGCAATGAAGACTGTGTGAAGAGCACGTTAAGCTCGACATATAATATTTATATGCAACTCTATGCAGCTTACAATAAGAACGGTCTAGTTCAAGCCTCATGTACATAACGTATATACATATATAAGCACGGAGTAAACAATACACTTCGTATTATTTACTGTGTGGTAGTAGTATATGCATACACTTATAGTCTAAATGTATTTATTGATCACATATATTAAGTAAAATCTTACGAAGTGATATTTTTACAGCAAAAGGCAGCGCGTTGTGAATGGTGATTTCCATTTTTGATATATAACTAACACCGCAATTACAAGATTTCACAACATAAGACTGTACGCTGACTATTCTCCTAACGATGTGATATAGAATATTTTAATTCAGCTACCCTCAATTGATTCAGTTTCGCTTAAAGTAGATGCCCAAGCTGTTGTCATCGTTAAATAACGAACTTTTGAACGCATCTATAACTTCTGTTTTTCTGTCTGTCAGTCAGTTGAGTTGTCACTCCATTTCGCGCCATTATTTACGTTTCCTGTTTTTTTTCAATCAACGTATATTTTAGTTTGTACAAGCTTGTAGCCTATTTCTTGAAATAAATAGTAACCAACACTATTTAATTGAAAAGGTTTAAAATAGACGTCTGTATTTGCACAATGGTGGGTATATAAAACTTAATTGCGAATACGATTATCAGGCCTTTTCTCGACGAATTTATTGTTTGCAGGTCGGAGAGCACAATGAAAACTTACTCTCAAATATGTTACCCGTGTATTACACCAGACTGTTCCCACAAAACATATTCTGCCGGTGGTTGAGCTGCGGAAGTAGCCCTCAGCCTCTTTCCAACAGAGAGTTGTCATTTACTTTAGCAGATGATGTGTATTTGAGATACTTGTCAATAAGTAACCAGAAAGAATTACATACGTTGTTACTGAAAAAGTGCCCCTATAAATTGGATATAGGTGCTGTCTACAATACGAAGTAAGTTAAAATTTTATTTGCTACACGTAATTAATATTTACATACACATGAAATTTTGCCCAATTATTTCTCAGGCCATCCATAGCTCGGCATGATTCAATAGTGCTTGCTAGAGAGCTAGTGTTTGATATAGATCTCACTGATTATGATGAAGTAAGAACTTGCTGCCAAGAAGCGAAAGTCTGTGAAAAGTGCTGGAAATTCATGGTTGTGGCTTGTGAGATTGTTGATAAGGCACTGAAAGGTAAAATATTTGCTCATTGAATAATACTGTTAAGGCTGCTACTTAATGGTCTGCATGTGCGAAGTCACTTTGTACTACATACTTAAATTAACTGCGCGTAGTTGAAACCAACTGCTCGCAATTGACACTGACAACAATAGTCATTGCAGAATATTTGATTCCAAATGCTGATATATCAATATTTAAATCCTCTATTGTAATTTGTCAACAAACTTACAATCATGTTTTACCATAATGTGGATTAAACAAATACCTGCAGATTCCTACGATTCTAGAGGCGATGTACCCATATAGATGTAAACTCAGAGTTCGGCTCAATACTCATCTGAATCCTCTTACTAAAGCACTGGTTGATGGTGGCAACATTAGGATACTAAAACAACAGCGTGTGTTCAATGACCAAAAGAGGCTGAAGCAGTGCCTTGGCTCAAACACCAAAAATCACTCAAACCTTCTAATTATAGTCTGGTGACTGTAGTAGATAAATAAAAAAATGTTGATTAAACCCTCAAGTAATTATTACTGAAAAAACAAAGTTGTTTCAGACACAAAGAAAATCTTATATTAGGGGTTAAAGTATGAAATTGCCGTTTTATTGCAATAG